TGAACATTGAAAAAACTGTGAGGCAACTCGCTTTGTCGGATTCACACAGCACTTTTTCGGATCAATCATCGAGACATTATTAATTTCGACCAACGCTTTTGGTCAGATGATGTTCTAATGTTCACATTTCTAATGTTCACATCGAAAAGACGTTATATATTGCCAGTCATTCGATTTAAATTACTTAATTGTTATTCTATATACTGGCGAAGAAAATTCATTATTCTGTCTTTTTTTTTCGTTAAATTATTGCAACGGAATCATTACTGGTCTTTATCGTAATAGTTACTGTGAAATCCGTACTGTTACTGGGAGAATGTTTATTGTAGTAGTGCGTAATGCAGGTTACTGTAAGAATGACTAAAAGTTGAGAGTGAACAAAAATGCAGTAATTATTACTGTTTTTCGACTCACAATCAGTGTACTTTATCAATAAGTTCTCTTCTTCTATAGCATTACAGTCCTTTGTGGACCAAAGCTTGCGCAACTATTCGTTGCCATTCCCTCTCGTCTTCTGTAATTCTTTTCCAGTTGATAATATTCCTCTTTCTCAGGTCCGCTATTACGGAATTCACCCATTTTCTCTTGGGTCTTCCTCTTCTTTTAAGGCCGTACATCTTATGTTGAAAGATTTTCCTAACTTTTTCGGCAATCGGATCAAGTGTCTCAGCCATCTTATCATTTGCAATTTGACACAGCGGACTATGGTTTCGTCATTTATTTAATATTTCCAGTTTGGCATTGTGTCGGATTCTGCAAAACCTATCGTCATTTCTAATTGGTCTAAATATTCTTTTCAAAATCTTCTTTTCAAAGTTAGTTAGCTGTCGGCATTTTTCTGCTTTCAATGGCCAAGCCTCAAAGCCATAAGTCACAGGACCAGCTTTATCAGTATTTTATAGATTCTTTATTGTTTTGAAAAGTAATTTGAATTTTAAGAGGCATATTAGCATTTTAACGCTACCTTAATTCTTTTCTGCACCACTGACACTGTTGTGTCAGCTGTTAACGAGAAGACCATCTAAAGGTACATAAACTACAGCTACCGTTTCAAGCAGTAATCTTCTATTACTAGAGCTCTTATATTTTTCCAGACTTTATTTTTGCCAAGTATTTCATTTTATCAATGTTCACTCTTAGACCTATATACCTTATCTGCTAGCTTCGCAATCTTTAAGAAAACGTTTTTTAATTTCTTCACGTTTCTAAAGATTATTGCTACGTTCAGAATCTGTTCACATGCATAGATTGCAACGATTTTGTTGCAATAGTTGCTACAGGGCAGCAACATTTCCCTTAACATTGAGTGCAACATTAGGTTTGAATAACACAAGCGCGTTATTCTGTTTCACTTCCGAGATAATCTCAACTAAATCTATCAACCTTTTCTGACTAAGAACTTTTGTCTTCGTTCGTTTTTCAGTGTCATACATATTAATCTGACTAATTTTGACGGAAGACTCAGCATCACCAGAGTGGGTCCTAGCTTAGATCTGACGACGCTGTGAAACGTCTACGAATAAGGAGTATATGTATATATTTCGCAACAATTCGCGAAAGGAGTATACAAAAAGTACACCCAAATGGGAAACTCATCGCAGCTCGACGAAATTTGGCAGGAACATTCATATCGGTTTCAGAATAATGCCGGAGAAAAAATTTTTGTTGACACTCATCTGGAACAAAAGTAGTGAAACGCGTAAAAAGAATCGCGAGAAAGACGATGAGTTTGATTGTGAATAGCATCAGCGTGAAAAGGTAAACAAATCAACTTTTCTACTATCCGGCAATAATAATAAAGTAGGGAGCATTTGCCATGTATACAGGATGTCCCATTTTAAACGCTCCAGGCAAATATCTCGAAAAATATGGAAGATATGCAAAAACATTTTAGACAAAAGTTGTAGGATATCAAGGAGAACAAATACCTAATGGTAAAACGTAATATAACGTCATTGCATCGAATGACATGTATGCAACCCCAAGCAGCATTTTGACGTCCGCCCGACATTAAGATAAACACACTTAACGTTGGTATCCAACGTTTTCGCTACGTCGTTTCAACCCTCTTTTGCACTAATTTGGGGAATCAAATTTAGGTTGTACCAACGTTGGAATCCGACTTATATAAGTTAAATTGAGGTTACATTTTTTCCACCAGTTTTAACGTTGGTATGTAAACTTTGATTTTGTACACTCTGCTAGACCTGAGGTTATTTTTTCACAACGTACATACATTTTAGGTGTAGTTTTCGTGCTTCCATTCAAACCATATGACGGCATTGGTGTAATAAATGTATCATAATACGTACTTATCAATTTGGCACAAATAAAATGGCTTTATAGGAAAAATATAGTTTGCGCAGTCTTTGATACTATTGTAATTTTGCCATAAATACACGAACTCAGCACTGAAAATGTATAACGAAACCCACTTTATTGATAAATGTGGAAATGATAGGTCGAAATTAGACGAATCCCTTCTAAAATATTCCAATTTACTAAATATTCTAATAAATAACTAAAATTTTCAAAATGTAGATTTTAATTTTTTTTCATCAAAATTACTTTTAAGATAAATATGTTGTCAAAACCTTAACAACAGATATTATATAAATGCTTTAAATTGTTAATAAAGTGCGTTAAAAAATATAAATCTAAATATACTGGAAAATGGCGGATTATTTGCCTTCTTCTTTGAGGGATGAAAATGGCGAAGTCAGCGTTCCACACTATATCAAACTTTACGTAGTAAAAGGTGCGATAAATTCTACTAAGATTTGTCTTCTCGTATAAAATAATGAACTTTTTCAGACTTTTGCAAACTAAGTAGTATACCACTGTAGGCAAAATTGTACCTATATTGACTAAAAGTCTTAACAAGGTCGCCAAACTGACTTAACATGTCGATAAAGTATCGATTAGTTGAAAATTCTATACTAGATTTGCGAATGAGTCGTTATATCTTAACCAAATCCGACCTATGCAATACCATCTATGGTCTAGAGCATGGTTATGGCAGCCGTGCAGCCGAGCGAACGCGCTCTCGAGCTGTGAATCACGCGGCGCGCGCGCGTTGCTTCCCGACGACGCGACGATAACCGCGTGAGATGAGATGGACCGGTTCGGCCGTGGATCGTCAACATTCGTCGTATAGTCCTCGTAGCTCACGCACGACGCCGCGAATTGCCATCGGCGATGCCCACTTGACGCAGCAGTAATCTGCTCTACATTCTTTTAGGCAGAATTTGTTACCATTTCTCGCGATTCCTTAACGTCAGTCAGAAATGACCACAGGCGACGTTTCACAACGTTAGCGTTTTACAACGTTTGATAACAAAACGTTGGTTTACGTTGGGAATTACGTATTGAAGTCGCTCGAAAAGTGTGGTGCAAAGTATAACGTCAGGCGAACGTTAAATATCTTAACGTCGGGTAATAGGACTTAAACTGTTTCGAATTTGACGTTGGGAAAGTGATAAAAAAAGCACGTCGTAATTTTAACGTTAAGACAACGTCCAAAAAACGTTAGTAATTATAAGTTACATTTTATAACTTTCTTGGACCGCTTACAACGTTGTGATTAGTAAAAAAGTAGTCCTTAGTCGGAAAGTTAACCGAAAAATGCTGCTTGGGACATATATAACAAGCAAGAATCATTTGCTTATTTAATGTTAATTTTTGCAATGTATGAAAAGTACAATATAATACTACTAAACCGACTTGTGAATTACAGTTATAATTAGGGATGCCGTTCGGAAGACCGGGCAGCACGGCAACATCGGTGGTGGGGATGGCTGATGGCGGCGTACACACCGAAGCGACAAGCGCTCGGCTATATCTTCGATGTGTACGGCAACATCGGTGGTGGGGATGGCTGGCGGCGAACTTGTATGTCATACGTTGCATACATGTCATTCGATGCAATAACATTATATTACGTATGGTTTGATCATTGACTTGACTATGTGAACACGCATACTGTGCATAAGTATAATTCATCCAGCAATCAAGTAAATGTTTTAGTGAAAGCATGGCATTCAGCCTGTTGCAAACTGCCATTAGCTGAAACCTGAAACCCTCATTTTTCTACTCTTTAATGCCTTATATCTCGGAAACTGTCCATTTTTGGGCTTGGTGCCTATGGACACTTTTTATCAGCATGTTATGAACTACATTATCCTACATTATTGTTAAATTTGACTGGGAGCCAAAACCTCCTATGACCGTTGCGGGGTCCATTATACGGACATTTTTGGTCTACGTCACTTTGTTCAACTGGTATAAAGTTAAAACGACAAAGGTGCAAAAATTGAAATGTCAAAATTGCCAGGGCGGAGTCGTCACTCCATTCTCGGATTAAATTTTAAATAAAAATTCATAATTCCGATTATAAAAAATGATAGGATACATTTTATTAATTATTTTTTAATAAAAAAATGGAAACATTAATTAAAGAAACGATGGCGGAAAATAATTACAAGAAAAGCGCAGACATTTTATGTGCCCTACGCTCGCACGTTTTTTGTCAGCTCTATTCTGTCATCTCTGAGCACACGCAGCACATATTATCCAAGTCCTCGGCGGAATTCGACCTCTGGTAACCATCTCCGATAGAAAACGATTAAAAACGGCTATATCTGTATCATTTTTAATCGTATCTTATCGGTTCTATCTGTTGAATATGTACGCTCCTGACCTTAGTTATTTTGGCAACATTGTAGAACTAGCAGAGAGAGACGCGCGCGCACTTCTTGTCGAGTAGTCGTAGTCGTCGCCATTCACCGTTGCCGCGTAAACGATATAGTTATACCGTAACGACCGTTCTGAATTTTATTTTACTGCATAACGCATTCTGCGACAGGTTATGGGCCCAGTCCCGCGTCCGAAAAAGTAGTATTTGGTTCGCATGTGTGTTTCTCGAGGTTCGAGGATAGGGAGTTGCGTGTGTCCGCATCGCGAAATAACCTTTTCGACCTGTATCGCGTATTACCTGAAAAATGGAGAAACTGGTGTTGCCCAAATTCAACGGTGAAGATTTTGCGGTATGGCGTTTTCAAATCGAGTCGTACCTAGCGGTATACGATCTTCTGGAAGTCGTCGATGGGACATTGAAACGTCCGTTAGAAGCGGCGAGACAATCAGAATGGGACAAGCTCGATTGGAAGGCCCGATTGATTATCGGAAATGCTCTTGAGATGAATGTAGTACGTCAGATTATGAATCTGAAAACGGCGAATGAAATACGGACTCGGCTTTCATCACTATATGAATTACGAGACGACTGTCCATTTGCTACTGCAACGATTCTTCGATTACCGAATAGAAGAAGGAATGACCATCGGTCAGCACGTTTCAAAAATCGAAGAAATGGCTAGAAAACTAGAAGATCTTGGCCAAAAACGTTACACAGTCTCCCGCCAAATTATCGACACGTTATCTCGGCCTGAGATTCTATGCCAGCCGATCAGCAAACAAATCTGTTACCGCGTCTACTCAAAAAGAAGAGGCTCTGAAAGCATCGATGTCTGAAATGTCACTCGAAAATAAAACGCCGGCGGCTTTGCTTCACAAGAAGAGTTGTGATAAAAAGGTCAAGCCAAAGAAAGGTGACGTAAAACAAAAGGTAACGCAAAAACCGAAGAAGTTCAACGGCGCGTGTTTTTGCTGCGGTACAACAGGTCACCGCAAGTCCGAATGCCAGAAATCGGAAACGGCAGCTGAAGAGGCCTCTGCAATAACTGATAAAAATGAGCTACTCATGGCAAAGATAGATAGCGTCGACAGCGTTACAGATACATGGTTTGCCGACACGGGGGCATTGCATCACATGTCACCGCGACGCGAATTATTTCGAAACTTTGTTGAAAACAATGATAATTCAGTGGCGATCACGGTAGGCAGTAAAGAAGTCGTTTACGCGAAAGGTCGTGGTATGATCGATGCAGATTTCGATTTCGATGGTTACACGAAACGTACGGACTTAGGTAAAAATCTTTTCGGTATCGGTTCATCGACAGATCGT